ACGTCTGAGGTTGCCACAACAAGAGGAGCCTGGGGAGACATCATGACGTAATGCAGGGCAGCCCCTGGGTGGGCGCTGGACAACTTCAGACTTCCCTCCCCTTCCGAGGAAGTCGCCCCTGAAAACCTTCTGCTGAGCGTGGAAATATTGTCAGACACTGCCCGTCTAATGAAGGAAGTGGACATGAGTTAAGACAGAAGGAGAGATGAGAAGTGATGGCGTGATTAAGGCTCCTTCGTTGTGAAAAGGTGTCATCGAGATGGAGCCACTGCCTCTGAGTCGCTTCAGACTCAGGGCAACGCTGTGGGACAGCATGGAACAGCTCCTGAGGGTTCTGAGCCTGCAAAGCTTGACGGGAGCAGACAGGCATATCTTTCTCCTGCAGAGTGGGATGGAATGGCCAGCCTTACGGGGCTGAACTTCATCAGCCTGGTGGTGTTGAACCGCCAGCCTTGCAGTTAGCAGCCCAACACTTTAACCCACGACGCCACCAAACCAGGAAAAGCGAACCCAACGTAAAAACAAAATCAAGTCAATTCTGACTCAGAGCAATCAGAACTGTCCTTGTGGGTTTCTAAGACTGTCACTCTTGAAGGGAGTAGAAAACCTGGTCTTTCTCCTGCAGAGTGGCTGGTGGTTTCGAACTGCTGGTCTCATGGTCAGCTACCCAACTCATAACCCCTACACCACCAGGGCTCTGAATGGACCCTAGTCAAATGAATGACACTTCAGGAAAACCTGTGGAGAATGGATGATCCCTCTGAGAGCCAAGCTCCCCGCTTCCTGAGATGGGACGGGCAGGATCTCCGAGGTGAGTGGTGGACCCAGATATCCGTCTGAAGACTTTTGACAATCTGGTAAGAAGGCGGAGGCAATCGTCTCTGCATGCTGCCGTAAGATGGTAAGCATGGTGGCTTACTTAGGCTTGTAGTTACTGGCGAGCTTCAGGGAGATACGGAGACACAGGCAACCTCCTCCAGCCCATACACCCCACCACCACCCCCTCTCCCAGCCCCCCCCCCACCGAGAGTCCTCAGGATGCCAACCATCTACAAAGGAGTTTTGTACAAGAAGTTTGCTAGGTGTTGAGAGTCCATTGCCTGGCACATAGTAGGCACTTGACACGAGCAAGGCTGAAAACGTTCCTGGGAAAATGGAATAGAAAGGTAATGGAATTTTCCCAAGAGCTTTTGGAGACAGCCCCTCATATATGTACATTTTGATGCCAAACGTATTATATACCAGACCCTCTGTTGGAGGGGACCAGGGGACTTTCCATGTAATCCTTCATGAGGGAGGAATTGCTACCAGGCCCATTTTACAGAAAAAGAAACAGAGGCCCAAAGAGCTCAAGAAAATGGCTTCAAGTCACAGCTACAGAGTATAGGCGTGGTTTGAAATCCAAGGCCCTAAACCAGCTGTTCTCAACCTGTGGGTCGCGACCCCTTTAGGGGTGGAACCACCCTTTCAGGGTCACCCAATTCATAACAGTAGCAAAATGACAGTGATGAAGTAGCAACGAAAATAACTTTATGGTTGGGGGGGTGGTCACCACCACATGAACTGTATTAAAGGATCGCGGCATTAGGACGTTTGAGAACCACTGCAACCAGCCACCCAAAGACCTGGCCTCTCCCTCCAGAGCCTCCCCGCTGACCAAACACAACCCGCTGCCCTCAAGCCGATTCCTCTCATAGTGAGGGGAGCCAACAGCCTCGTCTTTCTCCCAGGGAGGGGCTGGTACGTTTGAGCCATCGACCTCACAGTTAGCAGCCCAGCACTTAACTCACAGCGCCACTGGGACTTAGTGCCGGGAATCCTGCCGCCTACCCTTTGCAGAATCCCTCCGCGCTGATGCCGGCATCTGTGGCCTCCAGACAGCAGTCATTTTCAAGTCTCTTTCTTTTAAAACTTAATTTGCCAATTTCGTCCTCGGAGGTGCCTTTTGATAGTCCCTCAAGCTGTCACCCTGGACAGGCCTGGGCAGCAGAATCCGGGGAGATGAATGCCGATTACAGGCATTTAATTAGTCCCTTGGAATCATGCAGCCCGGGAGCTGCTATGGAGACTCAGAAGCTTAGCGACACCCTCCCCCACCTGGACTTTTAATAGGCTTTTCCGTATTTATTGCCACCGAACCAGATACTTCAGACAGATCTTGCATTTGGTATAATTTGATATCTGCCCAGTCCCCAAAGTGCCTTCTGGACAAATGTTTACCCGATGATAGAGTGTGTTTAAAAGATTTATATTCCCTTTCCCTCAATGGAGTTCTCGGGGAGGTGGGGGGAGGCGCAGTCCACCTTCCCAAGCAAAGGACCCACATTCTTTGACCGGTGGCCTCCAGCAGGAAGGGCTTAATGTATCACTTATTAAAATGGACCTGTAGCCTTGGTTGAGGGCTCCCACCACACACACACACACCCTGCCCCTTCTAGCAAAGGTCAGCAATAGTTCTCAGGGGCCCACATCTAAGCCGGGCCTTCTGTCCAGCCCCCTTGCCCAGTAGACTGTTATGCAGAATAGCTGGAGACAAGCAGAGCCTACCATCCACACAGCAACAAAAGGCCTTTAAGGCTGAACCACAATGGCACAATGGCGGCAGCTGGCACTGAGCTGCGGGCTGGGTCAGATGACTTTGCAGCTTCATCCGGGATGAAGCAAGGGCTTAGGGTTCAAGTTCTGTCTCCGGGACTTCCGAGTTGAGTGACCATCTACAAGGTTACTTAGCCTCTCTGAGCCCCGTTTCCTCTTGTACAGTCAACAAAATAGCACTAGTCTTATGAGGAGGGGGGAGCAGGCCCTGAGTTGCACAAATAGTTTAACCCTTGGCTACTGTAATCAAAAGTTGCTGGATGGAATCCCCCCAGGGGTGCCTCAGTAGAAATGGTGGGAGATCCACTTCCAAAAAGTCAGTACCATGAAACCCCCGTGGAAGGCAGTTCTACTCCGAAACGCCTAGGGCCGCCACGCGGCAGAATCGACTCGACATCAACTGCCCCCGCCCCCCAAAAAAAAACAAAAACCAATAGGGGCCTATGATTGTACAATGTGGTGCTGGGATGTGAGTGCCCGAGGTTGGAAGGCACAACCCAATGACCGCACCAACGGACTCAGACACGCCAACAGGTGCGCCGGTCAGGTGGTTTCATGATGCTGTCCACAGGGCCACCACGAGTTGAAACCAACCCAACTGTCACGTCCACCGCCACCGTCTAGCAGGGCTGCTGTGAGACTGAAGCAGTGTGGCACAAGGCAAAAACCCAGTGCACGTAGACGATGCATGGTTCTCTAGGGGTCCCAATTTCCTCGAGCGCTAAAGAGAATCCAATGCGTGAGTATCCAGGGTTGCAGGGACGCTGATGGGAGTGAATAGACAACAAAGGACCTTGTCATTGTCCAGGGCTCTCATCTCTCCCCGGGTAATTGCTTATTCCTGATGCCAACAAGCGTCTTGCCTCCAGAAAGAACCTTTTCACCGGGCTCCCAGTGAGCTCGGCAGGTGGGTGTTGGATAGGAGGTGGGCCCTACCCCTAACTCTTGGCTGCCGCCCTTCTGGGATGAAGGGAGAGCTGGGCTCTGTGGTGCCGAAGGCCTGGAATCCCTTGGATCTGCAGGAAGGGGAACCAGGTCAGGGAAGAGGGTCATGCGCCCAGGGTAAGCACTGCTGGCATCCCGTCATCCCGCTGGCACTGCCAGCCTCGCCTGCTGTTCCTAATAATGACTAATAGAATGCAGAGCCCTCTGCCGGGGACCTCCCGTGTGGCTCCCAGGCCTCCACTGCCAAGAGCAGATGAGACATCGCTCCCCTCCTCACAGGCCCCCCGGAGCCCCTCTTCCTCCCCCCTCCTGGGGCCTGTCTTACCTGATATCTGAGTCACACTCAGGCTCCTGTCACTTCTGAGCTGTGTTGTGTCACTCTCGGCTGACAGTTTTACAACAAACACATTAAAAGCTCCTGGCACTGGGGCTCCTGGGTGCCAACAGCCGGGGAGACAAAGTCTCCTGAGCATTCTTTCAGCCAGCATCTTCCTGGCCCACCACCGCGCACTGTCCCCCAAGCGTGGCTGGGCTGAGATTCTTTCACGGCCTGGCTTTCTGAGGGGCGACTGGAAGCAGGCTGGCGAGCAGAAAGGCCTATGACCTCCTTGGATGTGGGCTTCCAAAGAACGCCCCACAAATACAGCTCCCTGAAATCCCTGGGGCCGGGGAGCCCTGAAAGGCGAAGGTGTTGGGGAAATCTGGGTGCCCCGCCCGGGAGGCTCTTGGTGAAGGATTATGGCAAATGGTGTTAGCTGTTACCCAGTTGATGCCAACTTCTGAAGGCTCATGCATGCAGAGTAGAACCGCTCCCTAGGGTTTTCAAAGCTGCCACCTTTCAGAAGCAGGCAAGTCTTTCAAAGGGCCTCTGGTTGGGTTCAAACTGCCAACCTTTTTGGCTAGCAGTCAAGCACTTTCCCATTGAGACACTCAGGGACACCTTATGCACAAAGAGTGACCTGCTGCCCTTTGTGTGGGTATCCTGTGAGTCTTCCCGACAAGCCGATGAAGTAGGGGTTGTATTATCCCCTCTTCACAGATTGAGAACTGGAGGCGAATCCAAGTTAAGGAACTTGCTCAAGGCCAAGGAGCTAGGAAGTGCAGGAGCAGGGATTGTGATCTAAGACTGCCAGCCTGCTGCTCTTAACAAGGCTGGCTCCCTCCCAAGACAGCATCCCTCTCTTCCCACCCCCACCTCCCCTCCCCTCAGGAGGATGGCAGAAACTGCAGAGAAGTGAGGAGCTCCGGAGCAAACCCAACTTGGCATGAAATGGCCCTTCAGGAATGGCCTTGACAATCACTGGACCGTCCCACCCCCTGAGCCCAGCCCCCAGTGCCCTCCACCTGGACTTTCTGCCTCACAGATCAAAGCCCCCACCCCACTCCATTCCCTCTGTCCTTTTGGCCATTGACAGACAAACAGCAAGTCCCTGGACCCAAAATAGAAAAAAGAGGAGAGAGACAGGAACAATTATTTTATTGTACATTGGAGAAATAGCCCTATGTGCTGATTAAGGGTGCAACATACAGAAGATTGAATTCAGAAAAAAGGGAACAGGGCTCAGAAGGAAAAGGAAACCTCTTGAGGTCCAAAGTTGCAAACAAACAAACAAAAATAAATGGTAAAAGATTTCCTCACGCAAGAGGCATTTTTGCAAATACCATGCAAAACAGGCAGCTGGTGCGCCTTAAGAGAAACCCTATAAATAACAGAAAAGACAGTCCAAGCATTCCTGTACACGGACTCAGAGCACAGGGAGAAGAAACCAAAATGCCTTTTGGCATTTCAAGATATTTGGCACTCTTGTGATTACATTTTTTTTACAGTCCATTAAAGAGAATAAACTGACACAATATTAGAGGAAAAAACAGGCTGCTCACACAACAGACTGCAAGGGGGTTAGAAAAAGCTCAAGCATTTTTTTTCTGTGTGTGTGTGTGTGTGTTTTGACATAGAAAACTGTCCATTTGCATTAACTTGGACAAATAGCTTGCAGCAACAAAGGAACACAAGCTTTACAATTCATTTGAAAATGAAAAAAAGGCTCTTTTCTGCACACCAGTCTTTAGAAAAGTTCCCATCTTGTTGTATACCTGGTAACCTCCAAAGAGGACCGATAGTACATTGAGAGAGATCATTTTCAGATTTTTTTGTGTACATCTAACAACATAAAAAAATTCAACTGGACAGCATTTCACATCCAAGTGCAGAAAACTATTTTTGCAAGATTAAATACTGTAAACATCGGGAGCAGCCAGATCATTGAAGAATGCCAATGCCTCAAACTACCCCCCCTGGGGGGGGGCGTTATTTAAGAGGTTCCAGATCCAGATGGACCTCCGGTTTATAGAAAAGAAATGGGGGGTTATGTCAACAAATAGCTGCAACGGAGACTTCTCGGGTTTAAATTTCTTTATATGTGTGTATATAGTGATCTTTTAACTTTTTTAATGTTATTTCCTTTTCTTAATTTTTTTTTATTTCTGCAGAGGAGCCCAGACCCTCCTCCTCCTCCTTTTCAGCCTCATCTGACTCCAGGCCTGACAGGAGATACAGGTTGTTGATTTCATCGTGGGTAGCAAGCTAGTAATGAATTTCCAAGCGCTTTCTCTTTTCAAGCTCTCTCTCTCTCTCTCTCTCTCTCTCTCTTTTTCCAAATAACTGCTTTCGCCGTTCTGATTCTGATTCTCTCCCTTAACTCATTGTCTTTGGGGGAGTTAGACACCCGGAGGTGCCTTGTCTGTCATATTTTTCAGCACGTCATCAATCCTATCATCTTCAATAACAACTGTAAATGAAAAAGGGGAGGAGAGGTGAGCAAGCTTGGGCCTGGCCAGGGGTCCCCCTTCAATGGTTACGCCCAGCCAGGAAGAGGGTTGGGAGGAAGGGAAGGGGCTCCCCAGCGCTAAAACAGCCTCATCCTCCCCAGTATCTGCCTGGGGTCTCTTCTCTACCCCCTGAAATACCCGCTGCCCCCCCTACCCAGCCTGCACCCTAGTCCCAGCTCCGAAAGCATGCAGAGAAGGGGCAAACCTGCCCTGTCCCCGAGGGAAGCATATATTTAGCAAAAAGCCACCAAGGCAGAGAGGGTGGAGAGGAGGGAGAGTCTAAGCCTCAGGGGTTGGTACTCCCAGGGTTACCCCGAGAGCGGCACCGGTGGCCAATTCTGGCTGCAGAGGCGCAGGGAGCCAGAAGGGAATGCCTAGGCCAATTCCCACGGCACACGGCCGGGCCCGGGCCTCGCCAGTGGGCACCCTCCTGGGGCCTCCTGCCAACGGACTGGGCCTCCCAGCTTTCCAAGCTGCCCCCGAGGTTGGAGCCTCCCCTCGCCAGGACACTTGCTTTCGCTCAACCTCTCTACTTGGCCTTACCTTTCTTGGTCCCTCCCTCCATCGTTATCTGCGCCCACCCGCCCTTGGTCCCCTGTCCACATCTCTGGGTCTGCATGCCTAGGGGTATCACCTGCTCTCATTGTCTTAGCTGCCTTTCCAGACTCCTCAGACTCACTGCTGTCTCCCTCTCCAGCCCCAGCTGAAGCTTTGTCTCCGGCTCCCGTCCTCCGTCCCCGTCCCCAGCCTCCGTGTCGCCTCCCTCTCTCCCAGCGGGCAGGCGGTAGCTGGAACCCCTCATTGTCTGAGCTTCCCTCCGAGCCCCTGGGCAGCTTTCCCTCCAGGCTTCCCCAGCTCCCGCAAAGAGTGCCCAGGCCTGGTCACTCCCTCCCTCTGCCAAGTCACAAGGAAGCGCCCGGAGGGTGCTCCTCTGCCTTCCCCACATGAATGGGGTCCCCCCCCCTGCTCCCCTGTCCCTCGGGGAGTCCTGGGACACCTCCCCCAAGGTTGCAGAGCCAGCGCAGCTGCGACTACACTGCGCAAAAGGGGGCGAGGAAACTGAAATTTAAAAAAAAAAAACTTTAACTGGGGGGCGGAGGGTGACCCAGGTGTCACCCTTCAGCCCCCCCGCCGCTGTAGCTAGAAACCACCACGCCCCCACGGTGACCCCAGGGGGACCGTCAGCTCTACTGGGATGGGGGAGGGGTTCCCGCGGCTGACGGGAGCTGGACCTGCAGTGCGGGATCCCCGATCCGACCAGGGGGAATGTCTTCGGGTCGGAACAAGGCACCGAGCTGGGAGAGACCCCCCTCCCCGCCACCAGCCTGCTCCGGGCCGCAGCGCCCCGAGAGGGAAAGAGGGTGTCGAGGAAGGGAAGGGCGGCGAACTCACCCCGCTTGCTCCGGCCAATCTGGCCCAGCTTGGGCGGCCGCTTGTTCTGGCCGGCGCCGAAGAAGTTGTTGGTGTCCTGCAGGCGGCACGAGAAGATCTGGCCCACGTCGCCCCCGTCGCCG